TGTGGTTTGAAACTCAAAATGAGACTTTAACTAATCTGTACCACTGGAAACTGACTGGATTGTTAGTTCCCTCAAACACTTGCTGAGGTGGTTGACACAGGAACAGATCTTATTTTTTTTCTTTATTCTGACTTGTGGCTCATATCTAGTGACTTGTAGGCAATTTCCATTCCATAGCTGCATACCTGCGCTGTCTCTTTACAAGGGCTTCCCTGCCTCTTCCCCAGCACCTCTGCAGAGGCTGAAATACAGTGTGGTGGAGGACTCCAGGCAGAATTACTGCTTTCAAAGTAAATCAAACTCATACAAGCCTTCAATGCTCTGCTGTCTTTCAGATGCATCTTCATTTAATCATTTTAGATGCTAGACTAGAACATGCAATGCATGTTCAGAGCAAAGAGAGAAAACGTTTGGGGATGGATAGGCAGAATTCTCTAACAGAAGTTTTCTGCTCTATGTACCTTATTTACACCCGCTGAAATGGTTTCATAAAATTATTTATACATCTATAAGCTTTTTAGTCGTCTCCTTTTTACTGATTATGTCACTGTATTTTCCCAACACTCATCTGAGTCTCACTTTGCACACTTTCTGTCTGCACAGTGAGATTAATTCTGTCTTGGGATCTGCAGAGGAGTGCTTAAATTTATGATTCAAATGGATACTGCTCCTGTGGCAGAAATTGTGAAGAGGTTCATGAATTTTTAATTAGAAGGGATTAATTCAATGAATACAATTTCCTAAACTAAGTTGTGTGGAGCATAGATGGGGCTTAATGTTTAAGTAATTAAAATATGCACATTCCCCCTAGATGTGCCATATCCTGGATAACTAAATTTCCTTTTAGGTGCTCTTGTCTGCTATGTTTGTGTATTTCAGGAGCAGAACAGCAATGCTTTCAGATAGGCTGTGATACACCTTTTACCTGTTACGTTACATACAGAACAAGTGAACTGAAGTTGTCATGGAAGAAAAAGTCCCTCATGAATTCAAAACCTGCCATTCCAGTGAGGAAATGGTTTTTCAGCTTCTTTCCCATGTATTTTGTGCTTTGTGCTTCCTTCACAGTTGCTTTTTCAGACTTAGCTCATAAATGGTTGCAAAACTGTTTATAAGATTTTTATGAAGAAAGTAGTATATAAAACCAAAATCACAATATTTAGAAACTTGCAGTAATTTGAAAAGAAAATGTATGCAAATGATCATATAAATTCATTCACAAAGTAGGCAGAAAAAGCTACCTGCAAAGGAAGCTTCTTTCTTGGTCCCTAAGGCAAACAACTAAAGGTTTGAAGCGTAAGCTACAAATCCTGCTTGTTAAGCTTACCACTACGTTTTCTTCCAAAAAAAGAGATTTGTAAAAAGCATTTCTCCAATTTGAACTTCTGCACCAGAGCTCCCAAGGTTACCAGTGTGGCTCTGCCGTTGCTCTCTGTGGCACCCACAGTGTGGAAGGGTTGGTAATCCCAGGCAATTCCTGGGCAGTGCAACGCCTGAAATTCATCCCTTCTACCAGCTGCTGGATCAGAGCTTCTACCAGGACCTCAGGACCTTGTCCTGCACCCATCCTCTGGATGATGGTGGCTTTGGATAAAGGAGGCAAAAGGAAAGATATAGGACTCCTATTAGGACTAAGAAATGGGAGAACAGAAGGTGAGAGAACAAAATTCCTCTGCAACCTGAGAATGTTTTAGGTCAGGTGTAGGTGACTTGATAGAAGAATCCCTACTTTAAATTCAGTGGGCTTATTCTACAGGATATTAGCATTACTGATTTTTAAAACTTCCTCCTGGGTTTATTACCAGTATTTGAGATTCTGTACTGTGCTGACCTTGGACCTGCAGGGGAGCTGGACAAGCTGGTGCTAAGCCACTGTTCACTTTCCATCTAATGTGTTCCCCAGGGGTTGGATACAATTTATGGACATCTCAGTTTCTCCACAATCCTCAGATCTTAGTTGCTGGTTTTAATAGTGTATTGGACAAGTTCAATATGCACCAACAGTTTCTGAGTACAGGATAGGTGTCCTGCCTAGGGCCCCTTAAATCCAGAAGCCTTGCTAGAAATCAGTCACATTTGGGAAACACTGGATTTAATAGTGTAGCTTAAGGAATGTGCACTTGATCAGATACTTTCTCAGATCATTGGGTTTCTTCAGCACTGTGTAGCATGTAGATGATGTGAATTTTCTGGTACATCTCAGACAAGCTTTATGGGCACATGTAGAGGGCAGTTATCTGGGGCAGGAAGGCTGCTTGCACAGAAGGTACCTATTGCTCTGATGCCTGCTTTGTCTAGACAAGAGCTCTGGAAATGCAGGCTGGGGATGTCTCTTACTGTAGCCCCTGTTTCTATAAGCCCAGGCTATCCTTGGTTTCATTTTTAAGTTTTGGCTCAGGAGGATGAAAGATGTACTTCAATGAAACTAACCTTTAAAAATATTTTCTGAAAAGATCGTATCGTGTGCTGGAGAACATGCCAACAGTACAACATTTGTTCAACATTCTAGAATTAGCCTTTGGTAAAAAAGGGCCCTGATCCTGATGGATTAAAGTCAGCACAACCTGTGGATTTTAAAGTGAGGTTTAATGGATTTTAACCAAAATAAATAGAATTGCTCAAAGCTGATGAAAGTTCTATGATCTCTGATACAGATCTAAGCCAGAAGTTTAGTTGAGAGTACTATTTCCCCAAGTATTTTCCTTTTGTTTCTTATGTAAATAGCAATAGAAAAAAAAATACCATTCTGCTGGAAAGGCAGGTAGGAATATTAATCATAACGGTGTAGGACTATCAGGTGTTTTGCATTCCAGCATTGCGAAGTTGTGCTCCGGAGGAGGGAGAGGAAAGTTGTCCTTGCTTCTGCCCTCTACAGTCATCTTGTTCCTATAAAACAGGTCCTGTTCTAACAGGGTGAGCTTGACAGCAAATGAAAAAAAAAGAAAGTAAATACAGTCAGGTTTTTTAGGATTTAGTTACATGGGATGCAGCTGACTGTTCAGCTGAGTAGGAACTTTTCATGTAATTTTAGTCTCAGGCTTCATGAGCATCTGCTCAAGCAGTTACACAAATTTACACAAAACTATTATATTTTAAAAATAAAAAAAACAAACCACTTGAAGCAAAGTACCTTTTAAAGACAGCAGATAAATCATCAGGAATTTGGGATCTAAAGGCCTTGTTGGGGACATGGTAGGTTCTCCTGACTTGGCATACTGAAACTGTAACATAAAACTGATAAAATGTTCCTTTTCTCCTCAATGCAGCAGTTTATGGACAGATGAGGTGCTCCTGAATGGCAAGTGTGGATAGTGGAGCTCTTCTTTCTCTCCCTCCTTGCAAAGAACTAGGCAGGGCTTGGAGAGTGTCTGAGGAAGATTCTCAGCCATGTGCCTGCAGCCTTTTCCAGGTACAAAATTTAGTCAGGTTCCTTTTGACAGAACTAAGGGAGAAAGAGAGGGATGCCTGATGCCAAGTACCTATTTTCATTTCTCTTATCTGTGAACATCTCTGGAATTCCCCTGGCCTTAGTCCAGCTTCTGCTTGACTAGAGGAGTCCTGTTGGATCTGTCAGTAAGTGAACGTGATCGCCTTTTCGTGTCCACTTTCACTCAAGGACTTCATTTCCCTTTTTGTGCTACACAATCAGCAAAAACAGATGTGCAGACAGTGCATGGTCAGGCAAAATCCCCCAACAGGGCAGTGACCTGGTGTCAGCCTTGCACACGAGCAAGGACGTGGCCATGGGCCATCCTGTGCCCTCCCGGCTCCTGTGGCCAGCAGTGCAAGCAGGCTCCTTTCTGCTCCAGATCTGCAGACTTCCTGAGTGGGTTAGTCCAACACCACCTCATGGCTGTCAGCAGTAAGTTCCTGTTTAGCATTAAAAGGCTGCATTTCCAGAAAATTGTGTCCGATTTTCTTTTTTTTTTTTTTTTTAATTAAATCCCAAGAATGTTTTGTCACCCTTTGTGTAAACAACGGGAATAGGAAGTACAATTTCACAGAGATAAGCGTTTTACATGTAGGCTGAGGAATGCATGAACAAGAAGTCCTTCAGCACTGAGAAACAAATCCATGTCCTTTTTTTAATTTTCTTGAAGCGTGTGCACCACTGCTTAGCCAGCTGTGATGAGTAAGTTATGGAATTCGCTTTGCAATAACTTCACAAAGGCTAAGGCTGGCTGAGAATAAAGTAGGAATAAGTAGTTTACCCCATGATTTCACATGAAGATCAACCAACAAAGTGTAGTTCTCAATACTGATGACTATTATCTTCCTCCATTCTAACTGGAGTTTTCCCACTAATTTCAGCTAGACATGTTAATAGTGTGTGCCTTTTAAGCAGCTGGCTTGCAGTCTTCAATTAGATACCACCAGTGGGACTCCCTCATCTAACTTGAGGTAGCTGAAACTTGTCAGGCAAGTTGTTCTGTAGGAGTTTCTGTGTCTCCCCATCAACTGCAAAGGGAGCCTGGATAATTGAGTTCTCTGGAGTTCTCATTGGAGTAGATGGTTGAATCCTAGATATTTGTAGAAAAGTGGTTTGAACTCCATACTGTTGACATGTTTCTATGTGAGAAGCTGGTCTTGATGAAAGGTATCTGCATCCTCTCAGTATTTTTTCCTCAGAGAATTTTCTCCTAATGCCAAATTTTTCCTGAAGGTAATTTCTTGGAAATTGCACTTGAACTTATCTAACAAATTGTGGTGATGATCTAGTGAAAATAAAATGCACCTCTTTCTATTTTGTTTTGAATGACTTCTTTCTGGCAGCTTTACTTTGTGTATTCTGCAGTGATAAGTATGACATTAGCTGTTTTAGTGGATTATTTCAGAACTTATCCTGAAAGCAGTTCTTTTTAAAGTAGTTAATATTTCCTGTATGAACTGTTTTGAAATAGTTCTTGATTCTGCTACTGTCTTTTTCCTTTTTCTCCCCTTCATATTTCTTCTTTCTGGTGTTTGGATATTTCCTTAAGTTGATATTTGTTGTATTTTAGGAGAAACCTGATACCAGCCCCACATCTCTACAGCTGCGATCCCAGATTGAGGTAAGCACTTTGATTTTGATCATTAACTTTTGTTTGTTTGTTCTTTGATTTGATATTCTGCAAAAATTGGGTAAAAGCTTCTCTAGTGCCTACTCTCAGTGCTGCATGTGTTCTCTTGCAGGAATCACTTGGTCTCAGCAGCACTGCATCAACACCTGACACTGAAAGAAAGTAAGTGAAGGCACAGGAAGTGAGAAAGGAGGGAGGGGGAATTTGGTATGTTTTCTTTCTCCTTGGAGTAATTTAATTTTAGATTGTACTTACTAGAGTTCAGATCCAGACACCGCAAATGAAACCTGTTTTGGAAACTGCTCTTTCTCTTCCTCACTTTTGGCCTTCTATTATTTTGGGTTTTTATGTCAAGGGAGGGTTATTGTTTCTCTTTTCTGTGAGCACTTGGGATGTGCATATACCAAGATGACTGCTAGTCATTGCTGAGGAATATCAGTGATTTCACATTCTCTGCAAATTACACCTGCTTTAAAAATTACTCTCTTTGACTAGACTTAAATGCAGCCAAAAAAAGATAGGTGAGGGGAAGGGACAGTTACAGACTTCCATCATGTTCCTTTTCCTGTGAACTCCTGAGTTTGTAACTGTGCTTTTGAAGAAGGTGCCAAGGGCATAAAAGTACTTAAAACCAAGTTAAAAGGAGCTTTAATTTTAGCGTCCTGAATGAAAACCTCTCTGTGAGCACTGAGAGGGTTTCTGTTTACTGTCACCTCCTGCTGCAATGTGTGTGCTTGTTTTCTGTGCCTCCTTCCTTTGATCCCAAGATCTTGGATCCCTGCTGCTGAGGGTAACGTGCAGTGGTGCATGAAGACAACTGACGCTCTGTGTCCAATTGCCTGCACTTCCATGGGGTAGTGCCAGCTGGACGAGTTCAGAGGGACTACATGGAGTCCATTTGTGATGGGATGTGCTTTTGTATGGTTTTACAGTCCCACATTTGAATACTCTCAAGTGATTCACCACTGGGCAGTAATAGGAAGGTTTCTTGCTTTTGCTACTTCAGTACAAGGACTGTCAGTCCCAGAGCAGTCTTTGGTGGATGTGGTGTATGGGACTTTGCTGGGCACTGACCATATAGAAGTCAGTTGTATGGTAGTGAACAACTGCTTAGGGGCTTCCTTTGGGCTTGTCTGGAAGCTGATTCATGCTAAAGGTTTAGAACATGATATCTTGCCTTTTAGACGTGCCTTCTCTTGCTTCATCACGCAGAGAGAAAAGCAGAGATGGTTTGCTTGAGGTAGATGCTCATTTTCAAAGCAGCCTAAGACAGATAAGGTGAATTACCTCGGGTATCATCACTGTCCCCATATTGCATGCTGGTAAAAGAGAAGGCCTAGAAGTCTTAGGAAAGACTTCGCATATATGGAAAAGAATCTTTGAAGGATATGTGGCTGACCAACATTATAATGAAACCAGGAATGACAAGTAGATGGGAGCTGTAATCTGGGAAGCAGACCTGCAAGGTTAGCCTATAATCATACAACTTCTCTCTCAGCCTCAAAGCACTTTACCCATGGGTAAATATCATAATCCCACCTCAGGTAATAAAGAGATGAAGCTCTTGCAGGAGAACAGCACACAACTCAGAAAAACCTCTACTTAGCAGTTTTAGCCAGCTTCCTAAGTTGTGTCTCTATGCAGGTGTTCTACCACAAATAACTGGGTGAGAAGACAGTATCAGCAAAAAATCTCCTGAGTGACTCCTCTGAGACTGCCCATTTATCTCACTGAAAGGAAACTGTATTATCTTAGTTCAGATGAAAGGGACGTGTGATTTTCATGGACCTTTCAAGAATGAAAGTGTGCCACTTGAGGATTTGTAGAAGGGTGTATGTGATTAACCTGATCATGCAAATGAAACTGGTGCAGGACAGGTTGTGCCAGATACTTGCACAATAAGAAGCAAGGCCATGTGACACAGGACAATTGGACAAGGTGTTGGAAGTAATAAATTGTCTCTACTCAATACTGTACAAATTATTGAAACCTGAAATTATACAAGTCTGTGCCTATTTGTGACAGCCTGACAGATCAGTGTTGGCTTCACCCCTCTAGCCTGGGAGACTTGAATTCTCACATAAATTGCCCCTTCCAGGCAGGAAGGCTTCATAAAATTGATCTGCAGGAAGATGACCACTTCATGCCCATCCTGTATCAATACACCTGTATTTGCTACTAACATGCTGAATTTAATATTTCTCAGGAAAGGATGTTGTGTAGGCCCCAGGGATTTTTGTGGTGTTCATTATATGGCGTTCATCTGAATTTTCCGTGTGGGCATGCTGCTAAACATGGAAGCTTGTTCCTTTGGGGACACAGTTTTTATGTCAATCTCATGCTGCATGAAAGATGTGTGGTAAACCTTCTACAAAACTTCCTTTGTTGTAAGAAGACTAATTTGCCAAATATGAAACTTGATGCAGATGTACAGTGGTTTCTCATATTCACAAAAGATTTGGGGGACGAAAGGAAAAATGTTTTCAAAACTTGATATACAGACTTTCAGGAGCTGGAAAAAGTGGTTTTTTGAATACTCTTCCACAAGTAAGAGCTTATCCAAGAACAGTTATAATTCTACATATTGAAAATCCAAATGTGTTCCTAGGGTGAAATGAGTTGTTTCTGGTCTGGTGTTCTGAGCTGGTTGATTTAGAAAATAAGGGCAGTCCCAAGGAAAAAACTATACTAAAATAAGGAGAGAGAAAGTGTCTGGCTGGAATACAGTCACTCTCAGTAGCACCCTCACCCAGCACTGCTGCCTGCACACCCTACAGCTTAATGCCACCAATGTCTAAAGTTTTAAAATAACACATCTGGATGGTTGTTTAATTTGCCAGAGTTTAGACATTCCAGACAGAAAGAAGCTTTGAGGGAACCTGGGAAGAGCAATGTTTGCTTTAACCTGGTTTGGTTTTCCTTTTCTGCGCTGCTCAGCTGGAAGAGAGAGCCCAACAGGCTCCACTGTACGCCACACTGAAAACAGATTAACCTTGATGGTCTGTGGTAGGAAAAAATCCTGTTTGTGTGGACAAGAAGTGGATGTTCAGTCTTGCCTTGAGTCTTACTAACCCTGCTGCCCAGTGTGGTGTAAAGTCAGTGCACAATTAGTCAGTGCCCTCAGTCCAGCAAGTTGCTCAACAAGCATCTGTCTAGTGATGTGCTCTAACACAGAGGAGCAGCAGCAGAGCTTGTAGGCAGGCAGGAGGGATTAAATGAGCCTGGAGGCAGAAGTGTTTGTCACTGTGAGTCATTGTCACTACCCCCCACCCCCTAAGTCATTTGGGGCAGTACTACCTTCCACTGTTGATAGCAACAGTGTTCCTGTTAATTAGATGAAGCTACCGAAAAAGACTGTGTATGTCAACCTACTCAGTGTTATATGTGCCCTACCAAATATGCCTTTTGTTTTACTGGTTCTGACAAAGAAGGAAAAATCTTCACTCAGAGGGAAAGCCCTCTGAGATTTATGTAAATAACAGCAAGGGTACTGATGTGGCCTGTAAAGCTGGCCATAAACAACAGAAAACAAAGTCATGTTTGTTCAAGCTTTGCTTCACAACTGCTCTGATTTTTTGGCCTTACTGGAGTTCCTTCTGTAAATTGAAACAGTTTGCCAGGCTTCTAAGTTATGTCATATTCAGCAACTAATGCAGAGCATGGAATGAGGTGTAGCTTTCTTCTCTGAATAATAAATTTCACTTTCCTCTGCCTTTTCCAAGATTTCCATCTTTTAAATTGTGGTCTTGCTGACAATTGTGGTGCTAGTGTAACTTTGCTGTTTCTCAGTGTGCCTTCAGTAAAGTGGCAACAGGATCTTTAACAGTGATATTTTAAATTTTAAACAAAAATCTCCCCAGAATCACAGGTGCTTCTAAAAAGACACATTGACTTCTGCTTTTGCTGGAAGAATCATTAGTGTAGAAAACATGCAGTAAATGTGTTCTTTAGCAATTGCTGCTACTTCTCTGACCCCATACCTTGTTCATCTGGGGATGTATATACAATTCCTATTATTTCGACGAGATGGCAACACCCCAAGGATGTTTACTCAGATAGGGGACTGAGCAGGGTTTTCTCATAATTGTAAACAGAGCATTTAAACAATGTAACCCAACTTTTAGCCTGTTCCCATTTTTGAGCATTCAAGTCTACATGACAGACTGATGAGCTCTGCATGTTTGCCAGGAAATCCAGGTTAAACCCAGTCCCCTGAACTCAGGCTTCTGCATCCTGACTCTCATCCTGTTTTTAGAAGAACTGGGGGGATGTTGCAGAAAGGAAGTTGTGTGTTTTCCCTCTTTGGAAATAGATCTGTTTGCTGTCACTGTTTGCTCCATCAGCCTTTGGGCTGTGTTTCAGATGTGGTGTATCTGAGATCTGCTGGGAAAGAAAAGGAGGTGGGTGAGAGACTCAGGAGCACTGCATACAAATAGGATGAGGTACAGACATTCCTATAGACTAATATTTTTCAAAGTCCCTTAATATTTCTCTTTTCTAATATTTCTACTAGAGAAAGAAAGGATGAAAATAATGTGTGAGGTAACAGTTGTGTCTTGTTTCTGATGTTTCAGTCGTTCCCACCACCTTTGTGTGGCAGTGGGTGTTAGGAATTGTCGCCTTCTATGTGGATCTCCTGCGCTTTCTTGAACTGTACCAATCAAGTGCACTCCTGACCAGTAAATTGTCACCCTTCATATCAAGTGCCACAATTCATCCTGCTGTACTCCTCAGGCTGTGGCTCAGTACAGTTCAAACATTCTTGACCCTGTGCTACTCAAGACCTAAATCTGAGACTCTGCCAGAGCAGGGAACTGGCCACAAACACACATGTCAGGCAGAAGGAGAAAAGCAGGCATGTGTGGGGTGCAGGTGACACAGGGCAGCATCTCTCAGGGGCTTTGCATTCCCCTGGCGTGCGGGAGCTGCTGTGCCTCTGGCAGCTGCACCTCAGCTCCTCCTTCAGCTGCTCCTGAGGGCGATGGCTGTCACCCTGTGTGTGTGCAGGATGTACTGAGCCACTCATGCCTGCCACTCATGCAGCTTGGCCAGATCTCTGGTGCCTTGTTGGGAATGTCTCGGCACGGGCTGCAGGCTCCTTGGGCATTATGGCTTTCTCTGGGGTTCTTAGCAGGCAAACAGTGAGGCCACAGCACAACTGG